GGACATGAACAGATGCTGGAGATAGAGAGCAGCAGGATCAGCCAGGTTTTTTGCAGAATACATAAAATGAATTTCAGAGTGACTGAGTATGAACAGCATGTAATACACCATTTATTGATAGTTTATTACGATATAGTGACACTTTAACTTTACAGGGCTGCATGATAAAATTCCTGATCCAAATTTTAATGTTTTAAACGTTACATAGTTGCATAGTTAGTCTGGCTGAAAAAAGACAAAAGTCCATCCAGTTCAACCATTAAAAGAAAAAAAAAAAGTTTTAATCCTATACCCACAGTTGATCCAGAGGAAGGCAAAAAAAATCAGCAAAGCATGATCCAATTTGCTCCTGCAGGGAAAAAAAAATTCCTTCCTGATCGCCCAAGAGGCATTTGGATATTCCCTGGATCAACTTTGCCTATAAATGTTAGTATCTAGTTATATTCTGTGTATCTAAGAAAGAATCCAGGCCTTTTTCAAAGCAATCCATTGAGCTGGCCAGAACCAACTCTTGAGGGAGTCTATTCAATATTTTCACAGCTCTCACTATGAAGAAACCTTTCCATGTTTGGAGATTACATTTCTTTTCCTCCAGACGTAAAGAGTGCCCCCTTGTCCTCTGTGATGACCTCAGGGTGAATAACTCTACACCGAGTTCACTATATGAACCACTGATGTATTTATACATATTGATCATATCCCCCCTTAATCTCCTCTTCTCAAGAGAGAATAAATTCAGTTTCTCTAATCTTTCCTCATAGCTGAGCTCCTCCATGCCTCTTATGTTGTTCTATGATGTTGGTTTAGTAAAGGCAAATAGGCTGCTCACTTTGCAAGGTGAATTTTCACCAAAAACTAATGAATGTGATGAAGTTTCATAAAAAAAAAAATAATCAATCACATGCAAGAAAAAAAAAATCAGCATTTTTGTTTACACATTATTGCATGATGAAAGTCATCAGAACTTCACTTCATCCACTAAGCTCTGAAGAAAATTCTCTTGCAAAGTGAACAACCTTTTGCCATTGGTAAATCAACCCTTATGTTTAACCCTTAAGCCATCCTTGAGTTCTTCGGTCTTTTTTCCCTAAGTAATCCCTCAGATTGCAGCATTGTGACTTTGCAGCAATTCTCAAGGTGAGAGGTTGCAGCAGGGGAGCTGAGCTGTGTCAGACATTTTTGAGCATTGCTAATAACCACACAGGTACCAGTATTTACATTATTGTATCATCTCTGAACCAGCATCTTGGTCTAGACAGTGGATGTTGACCTTGGATGCTGCCCGAGCAAAGATGGTGCCATCCTTCTACAGAGAAAAGCATATGACTGCGTTGTCAGGGGGAGTACTGTGAGAGGCAGTAAATACTTGAAAGTGTTACACCTAAATACACTGAACATGAAAAAATATATCTGTAGTCCTAGGAAATATTTCACTTGGGTGTTATTCAATGTCTTTATATGATAAGTTAGCTGGGTTTAAAGTAGTATTAAACCCAAAAATAAAAAAGTATTTCCTATTTTTAGGCCATTTTTTTTATTTATCTTAACCTGGTGTTCTGGCCATTAACACCATTCCTATCTTAGGGTGTCTCCACTCTTGGACAGCAGCATTGTCAGTCTGTGAAGAGAGTAGTGTTAGATGTACTAGCAGATTTAGATGGACTTGACTAACTAAATAGTAACTAAAGGTGAACTCCAGATAACACTTTTTTGAGCAGTTATAGCTGCTCTTTTTTTCTTTTTGGCATAAATGTTTTAGATAAACTATTAAAAACTGACCATTGTAAGTGTAGCGCTACCCTCTTGAGGTTCCCTCCCTTGTGTTTCTGGGTCCCCCTAAGCCCCGCACACCCAGGCAACACACATTTTCCACACTTGCATCCACAGTCAGTGAACAGTCCATGAGCTTTGTTATTGTTATTTTAATAGGGTAAATAACTTGGGTGGGGTAATAGGGACTATGGGATGCCCAACTTGACTGAATCAATGCATGGGGATAATCTCCTTTACATAAAAAGATCCTGGACTGTTATTCTCCTTGAAAGCAGTCAGTCTTTATGAATCAGTATACCTAGGGCAGAGGTGTATTTACCACAAGGCAAACAAGGCATTTGCCTAGGGCGGCATTTTTCAGGGGGGCAGCACTGCCTCTCGGAAGAAGGGATGGAAGAAGGGACACACATGGCATGTGGACTTGGTGGGATCCAAGAGAGGCTGCGGGTTTCATGACAGTGTATGCATAGTCCGACTCTTGTTCCCGGGGATGTCAGGAGCTGTGAAGGTGAGTGACTATCTCTCTCTTGCCATGGGCGATGCTTGCTGGTGTATGGGGGGGCAGTGGTAGCGGAAGGCTCTCTCGAGTGGGGGGCAGGGGTGTTGTTGGTCAATGTCAGGTTCACTTAGCGGGGAGGGGGGGGCACTGATTTTTGTGTTGCCTAAGGCAGCACAAAACCTAAATACACCAATGACCTAGGAGACCCCTCGCAGGCCATCGACAGCCTCAGCATTCCATCTTCCACCCAACTCCCCTCTAGCATGGCTTTCTCATATTTATGGGTTAGCCTACCACACTACCAGGTCTCTCCCGCCCACTGGCTTCTGAAAGCTTCCATGGTCCTCCAGAACGAGGTGGAGGCGATAGAGTCTCAACCTGCTGAGCCACCCAGCTTTACCTTCAGTAGCCCAACCTAATTGCAGACTCACACAATTACCATGAGTCATACCATAATAACTTTATGTACACTAACACTAGTAGCACACTAGAAGGTGGTACATATGCACCACTGTTAGTGGTAAATGGTTTATCTCAATCCTCTGACTGCCACTTTTGTTGGACAGCTTGGTCTGTTAAAGGTTAAGTCCACCTTTGGAACATGTTACATGGTCCAAATGTTTTTAGAGTGGAACATGTAATATGTTCCAGCATCTGCAGCCTCTCCCCCTGATCCCTCCTTTCTGTGACAGCAGGCCAGGGGTCTTCTCCCCGTACCCATTGTCACAATTTGAAAACATTAGGTATTAGGTATTTATAGACAGCTATCCTAAGAGTTTGCAGGAGCCTGAGATTGCACCTATGATCTGCAGGATCCTTAGCAAAAATATGTGCATTTACTTTTTTTTTTCAAAAGGTGAATTTAGCCTTTAAAAAATGCTGAAAAATAACAGACTTACTGGCCAGATCACCAGGTGGAAATAAAGGGGGGAAAAAGCCAAAAAAAGAAAATTAATACATCCACCACACTGCAAGCTGCAATAAAATAAAAAAAAGTTTATACCTGCTTTGAAGTATATGTAAATCCTCACTTTGTAAACAACCTATTCAGTTTAAAGTAGAAATGAAAGGCAAAACAGTTGTGTATACATATAAAAAACATTATAAATACCTTAGATTGTAAGCTCATTGAGGGAAGGGATAGATGTGAATATACAATTCATATGTACATTTTCTGCAATATACAGTATAAGAAGTACCTGTAATAAATAGATAAATACTTTTTTTCCCTTTTTTTAGGCTATCACATACCCTCTGTTCTCAGCTGCATCAGAACTAGGGGAGGAGAAACAAATATTTTTTCATACAAGTACATGGTACAGCAGGCACATATCAGTATTATGAAATGTTTGGGTTTACATATTCTTTAACTTACACAAACCTGGCAGAATGTGTCTTAGAATTGGCCACAGCTTTAGTGTGGTCATAAATTTCACGAATCTGCTATGGCTGCCCCATGCAATGTTACAGTGGACATATATAAGTTGCAATAATTGTCAATGGTGACTTTTTTTTTTTTTTAATCACACACAAAGCAAAGATGGGAACCATCTGTGCATTGTGGTGCATTGCCTTGGAAAAGAAAGGGACATGTTCGGGCTTTAGTGCATTGGCATTTAGTGAGTGGACTAAGGTAACACATATAATACTGAAGTTTAACATGCATGCAGTAGTGCACCGGGTACTCCGGTTTCTTCCCACACTGCTGGTTGGTTAATTGGCTCTTGTCTAAAAAAAATAATGGCCCTAGTATATGTATGTATGTATGAATGTGAGTTATATGTTACCTTAGATTATATGCTGCTTGAGGGTTAAGGACGGATGTGAATGTACAATATATATACATGTAGAGCACATAAATTGATGGAGCTATGTAAGTACCTATAATAAATACATAGTTTGTTTTGTTCAGAAATGCATCATTCATTAGAGCATTTGAGCTTGCCATCATTGAGTCAACTAATTTCATTCAAAAGCCCGTAAAATTTCATCCAGACCTGCTACTTGAATGGGATTCAACTTTCTGGATTCCCTGCATGCTCCCCCTCTGCGATTTACTTTTGATTACTAAGTACTACATATCCCATGGTACTTTGTTGCCTCCAAGCTGTGATTTCTGTACTGAGGCCACCTCCTGAAACTCCTCCTCTCAACACCTCTGTAGTTCAGAAGGCAGGCTCTGTGAAATGTGTGACACAGCAGTACCTACTCACAGGACATAGTGAATACTTCTGGGCCAGTTCACACCATGCCAGGAGCTGAATCGAACAGGAACACACTGTACATTCCTGTTGCTATTCAACCCGTATGCAAAATGCACTGCTTTTGCAAGCTGCAGCTGTCAATATAAATTTAATGGCACCCCAAATGCAGGTTGCAAATGTAGTGCATTTGTCCACACCTGCCCCCAATGGATCACATAGTACTTTCCAAAATGAATGGGCTTGAAATCGCACCACATATAGCCACTGCACAGAGCCACAGTGCGTTCCTGTGCGATTCAGCATAGTGTGAACTGGCCTTCACAAAATTCAAGGATCCTCACAAAGTCATTTTACAAACTTCAAGATCATTCAGAGTAATCGGAGTAGGGTAGAAATAATTGAAATATTAGGAGCATTTGTATGCATTGCTTGCACCTGTGTTGTAAGAAAACTGAATGTGGCTGTTTGGGAAGCAGTGTTTTCTGGCTATCTTGTGATATATATGAAGAGACGGTGGTGCGCTGTGTCCCTCGGACACAGCGGATCACCGATCACGGAAAGAGCTGAAGATGTTGGCTCAGTCATGTGATCAGCTGTGTCCAATCACAGCTGATCACATGTAAACAGGGAAATGCCGGTTATCGGCATTTCTCTCCTCTCGAGCTGTCACGTTGACAGCTCGAGAGGAGAGCAGGTAATCGGCTTTCCGCGTAGGGGACATGTACACTGATCATTAGGGCACTGATGATCAGTGTGCCCTGATGATCAGTGTGGCCTCAGCAGTGCCACTTGTCAGTGTCCATCAGTGCCTTATGTCTGTGCTCATCAGTGCCTCATGCCAGTGCCCATCAGTGCCACATCAATGCCACATATCAGTGCCTACCAGTGCACATCAATGCCACATATCAGTGCCCATCTGATCTGCCTTTCAGTGTAACCCATCAGTGCCAGTCAGTGCCACCTGTCAATGCCAATCAGTGCCACCTATCAGTGCCAGTCAGTGCCGCCTACCAGTGCCAGTCCGTGCTGCCTATCAGTGCGCATCAGTGCCACCTATCAGTGCCTGTCAGTGCCGCCTATCAGTGCCAGTCAGTGCCGCCTAACAGTGCCAGCCAGTGCCACCTATCAGTGCCATGTATCAGTGCTGCCTTTCAGTGCCCATCAGTGATGCCTGTCAATGCCCATCAGTGCCACCTACCAGTGCCTCCTCATCAGTGTCCATCAGTGCAGCCTATCATTGCCCATCACTACAGCCTCATTAGCGCATATCAGTGAAGGAGAAAAATCACTTATTTACAAAATTGTATAACAAAAACTAAGAAAAAACTTTTGTTTTTCAACATTTTCAGTGGTTTTTGGTTTGTTTAAGAAAAAATAAAAAACCCAGAGGTGATTAAATACCACCAAAATAAAGATGTATCTGTCACAAAAAAAATGATAAAAATTTAATATGGGTACAGTGTTGCATGATCGCGCAATTGTCACTCAAAGTGCGACAGCGCTGAAAGCTGGAAATTGGCCTGGGCAAGAAGGGGATGTAAGTGCCCTGTAGGCTAGCAGTTAAATTCCCGAAAACATGCATGGCAATGCAAAAGCCAACAAAGGCCCGTTGCCACAGGCCTTAAGTCCTCATGTGTAAACATATGGGCGTATGCAAAAAATGAAGAGTGTTTACGCAGGCACTGGCATATACCGAGTACAGCAGTGCACAGCCATTCACATCTCTGGATAGCTGTAAGCAGCAACTGGGTTTTCCAAGTGGGGAAATACACCATAATTTACATTGTAGAGGCTCAAATGTCCATGTGCAAGACTATTTCACTATTAGTCACCAAGGGGCTTATGTATGAAATGTGTGCCTACAAGAAAATGTGTTTAATGTAACAACCTTTCAGAATCCTTGTTACATTTTCAAACTCTGGACCATAAAAATAACAGTTGATAGCTGATTGTTTCCTATGGGCAACAAGAAATTTATTGTATGCATACCTTTCATACGTAAGTCCCTCTTTGTATATTAATTAAAGCAAAGGGTGTCACTGATAGTAAACTCATAGTTTGTATATACATGATCAGGAATAAAAAGTATCTGGGAAATCTGGATTTCTACAGATCAATTAATGTATCACTATCTTAAAACAATGACAAAAGGTATACGAGCACTAGGAAGTCTAGGAAAAAGCAGCTGACATAAAGGCAAAACCTCTTAACCTTCATAAAATCCAATATATTTATATTAAATGTATCACTATCCATCAAAATGAGGTATGCGACCAAGAGGATTTTGAAAATCTTCTTAATTAGAATCAGGATAACTTGAGGCAAATCTGAATTTGAGCAGATTGGTTGCTTTATCTCTATCCCTGAGCTGTAAATCCAAATAGTGACAGCCTGCAGTGCTATGTGCTCAGATATTAGCATTTACAGTATTTATTCATTTTTCCTTCTGCGTGTTACTTTTACTTTTTTTGCAACAGTTATAAAACATCTTTTACGTTTTTTTTCATTTCTCTAAGGAAATTTTTTGGAATCTGTTTATGTTTGAACTTTCCTCCTTCATCCGGTAGAAACTTCCGCATCCTTTTCCTGTGTCCCTGCAAAGATTTGCACAATAGAACACCAGAAATGCTACACAGTCTTTACCCCACCTTTCTCCTTCCTGCAGGGATATCCTTTCCATGGAAGCTCTGATAGAGCGTTCTCCCATGTTCCATGTCTGCTATCTGGCAAAACAGAAATGTATAAGAAAATCAGAACCATGGTGCCATGCAGGATGCTCACAAAACGTCACTTAAAAAATATTTTTTGCATTTTTGTACTTTTACATTCATCACTTCCTTATGTATGCATGGTAGCAGAAACTCTTTGAAATCATAGCAATTTCTGACATGCATTTTGTTACTTATAAAAATATTGGTTTAAATTACTGTGTTTAAAGTTTCTCATAAATGCATTTTAAAGCAGTTTCTAAAGACTGATACTGAAGCCTAAACTTGTAGTACCTGATTTCAGATGTCACAATTGACCTATTACCTGTTCTACTGGGGGCTCTGTTGTCACCTCCCATCAGTGCAAGAAGGGTCCCCAATGTAGAGAAATATTTTTTTACACTAATGTGCAGAAATGTTTAAAGAATGAATAAAGACCACCAACTCTATGCAAAAAAGCTGCAAAAAACCTGTGGAAATAACGGAGACGTTTTTCCCATTGTCACTTTATGTGATTTACACTGCTAAGACAATACACTTTTATTTCCATATGTGAGTGCAGCTGTTTCCACCATGCTATTCTAACAGGGGAGGTCTGGAATCACTCTGCAGCGGAAGCAGTCATTATAGAGACCTGGAAACCTGTACAGGGAAAAGTATGCAGGCTGCTCTTCTGAAATGCCAGTCGCTTGTCTGTAAGCCTAATCCAATGGCTTCAGTACTTTGTAAGTCAATGACCTGCAACAATTATGCAGATCAGCAATCATGACTTTACTATCCGCGCTGCATTCTTGTTGAAAGTTAGTAGATGTTTATTTTCCAAAGGGATAAAGAAGGTTCGCTTATCAAAGGAAGTAAAGTGTTCACTTTGAATACCCAATAATGTGCAAAGAAATTAAATCAATACAAAAATGGATTTTGCCTTCCACTTGATTGGATGGTTGAACTGAACTTAGTTCCACTATTATTGACTTTGCTGAATAAGTGAACATGCCACTACTGTAGTAAATCAGCGCCACTGGCTTAAAAAATACTGAACTCAGATAAAACCCAAGCAACTAACAGTTGCAGAAAGAGACTAAACTGATAATAGTTTTAGTCTAGGTTCACATTCGTGCGGGTGACTACTGCTGCGGGACCACACCTGTTTCTGCAGCTGCAACCGCCTGCACAGAAAAATGCAAGAGCTGTGTGCGGGTGTTATTAATGCTAATCCTCTCTTGTATTAAAAGAGGTATAGACTCCAGAGAGAGAGAAGTATCATATTAACCCTGTACAAATCATTAGTAAGACCTCATCTGGAATATGCTGTTCAGTTTTGGGCACCAATTCACAAAAAGAACATTGGGGAACTGGAGAAAGTACAGAGAAGGGCAACCAAACTGCTAAGAGGCATGGAGGAGATCAGCTATGAGGAAAGATTAGAGGAACTGAATTTATTCTCTCTTGAGAAGAGGAGATTAAGGGGGGATATGATCAACATGTATAAATACATCAGTGGTTCATATAGTGAACTCGGTGTAGAGTTATTCACCCTGAGGTCATCACAGAGGACAAGGGGGCACCCTTTACGTCTGGAGGAAAAGAAGTTTAATCTCCAAACACGGAAAGGTTTCTTCACAGTGAGAGCTGTGAAAATGTGGAATAGACTCCCTCAAGAGTTGGTTCTGGCCAGCTCAGTGGATTGCTTTAAAAAAGACCTGGATTCTTTCTTAGATACACAGAATATAACTGGATACTAACATTTATAGGTAAAGTTGATCCAGGGAATATCCGATTGCCTCTCAGGAGATCAGGAAGGAATTTTTTTCCCCACAGGAGCATATTGGATCATGCTTTGCTGGGGTTTTTTTTGCCTTCCTCCAGATCAACTGTGGGTATAAGATTATATTTTTTTTTTTTTTTTTTTTTATGGTTGAACTGGATGGACTTTTGTCTTTTTTCAGCCAGAGTAACCATATAACTGTGTAATGCCACACGCACTGGAAATAGCTCTGGCACTGGGAACAGCACTGCACTTATGGTTCCTCTGCGGTCTACAATTTCTAAGTGCTGCAGGGACCTCTTCCCTGCATTTTAGGAGGCACAGCAGCCCATTCAAATGACTGGACTGCTGTGCCTGCTCAAACCGCAGCTCACAGCGCTGCACAGATATGAACCTAGCCCTATACTGATTTGTATACCAATATGAATAGTGTCTTAGTATAAAGGGGATTTTATTTAGTGGTTCCAGTGTATGTGAACCTAAACCAACTTCAGGGTCTCCGCTCTGGCATCTATGTCCCCCATTTGGTATATTCCACTGAAAGTGCAGGTTAGACTAGGAGTCTGCCTTGATGAAAGAAATCTCATCCAGTGCACATCATGGAAGCCCGGCATGTAATAGGTTATATCAGCCTCACCTAAAGTAACACTAAATCCTTTTTTCTTTTTTTTTTTTAAATTCAACAAACATGTCTACACTTAACTGCTCTGTGCAGTGGTTTTGCACAGAGAAGTCCTGAATCCTCTTCTTTTCGGGTCCCGTTGGCACTCCTGGCTCCTCCCCCTCAAGCAGCGCTTCCAGTGAAAGCCGCTCGCTCTGGGGGCACCGCTGCATGCTCATCCCTGAGCCACTGCTTTATGCATCCATATGACACATAGAGTCACAGCTCAGCTCCACCCTTGCTCCCTCCTCCTTGGCTCAGTGGCTGTGATTGACAACAGTGGGAGCCAATGGGCTCCGCCTGCTGTCTCAGCCAATAAGGAGGAAGAGTCCCCAGACAGCAGAGGCTGTTGTGAACGTCGCTGGATCGGAGAGGCCTCAGGTAAGGATTGGGGAGGGGCTGGGGGGGCTGCTACACGAAAAAGGTTTTTTACCTTCATGGATATAATACATGAAAGTAAAAAAACCCAGAACCTTTAGAACCACTTTAAAGTAGAACTATAGGCAAAACTTTTTTTTCATTTTGGATAGAGTAAAGGAGGGTTATAACCCCAATCAGATTTTTTTTTTCTTTTGCCATCTGTGTCCCATTGCAGAGAGATTTCCCTTCATTTCTGTCCCCTAGCCAAACATGAAGTGATAGAGGAAATCCCTGCAAATTAAGGGAATTCCTTAGGGACCCCCAGGTCACCAGATCTAGTGTCCCCACTGGAAGATGTCTTCTGGGGACAACTCAGAATGTGGAATTTTCTTTTACTTTCGCTTTTAATGTTAATGGTAAACAGGACAAATACAGAGGGTGAATCTCCCTACTGACAAATGTTCTAATTCCTCTCCACTCTATCCAAAACAAAGAAAAAAAAGGTTTTGCCTTTGGTTATACC